AGCTTTCTGGTCCAATTCAACCACCAACACCACCTCCAGTTAATCCTGCTGTTGACAAATGCACCACGGTGGTGCTGCCAATGGAGCCGTTGATGCAGCGCTTTGGAATGTCAATGCCGGGCCAAATTCCTCTCTAGAGCAACAATTACACTAACAACAGGAAGTGAGTTGCAAGGCCTTCCCTATTCCTCCTCCTCCCTCCTCTGCTTTTTCCTGCTACGGCTTCCAATGTCCCTACTGTGGCCTCCAACATTGTCTCGGCTCCTCGAGGCGTTCAGGCTGATGGCGGGAACAACAACAGGCGTAGCAGTAGCAGCAGTAACCGTCTCCTCCGTCACCAGGCAGCTGGCGACTTCCTCAAGATTGGCAGTGTTGCTGAATCAAAACAAGATCAGAGATAGCAAGGGGGAGAGTACTTCTGGACAGGTCTTCTGAGCACACGGCAGCAAAACGCGAGAGGATGTGGCCATAGAGGTGGTCAAAAACCGTCGCCAGTTTCTCGCCAGGCAACTTTTAAAGGTGCGCGCGTCCGTGCCTAGAACTCCTTTTTACCTGCCCTTTCCTTCCTTACAGCACCGAGAGTAAAACAACCAACGTATTGCATAGCGACTCCCCTCTTTTGAGTATCGACCCTGGCTCTCCTCTCCATCAGCCTTTCATATCATCGAAATTCTGTGCATTGGAGAAGATATTTGACCGGAACACTATTCATTGCTTCTGCTAATTCAACTGGATCTGCAGTTTCGTCAGGTATGGGAACTGGGTTCGGGTTAGGGGCGGGGATTTGCACTGGCAATCGCTCGTGTCCATGGCTAGTCGTAGGAACGCTGGCCTAAAAGCTGATTTATGCAATGGAGGACGAGATTTAACGCAGTTCCGTGGGTGTAGAACTTTGCGTCTGTTTCCCTTTGCCATTTTGTTCTCACTTCAGAGCTGTTCAGCCATATCTATCTGAGTTTCGTCCAGCTAGTAGGGAAGTGGCGGAGGTATCGGGAGTTGACGTTATCGCCATCTTTTTACAGGTAGGGTAGGCAGCTCTGTAAGGAAACCTTCTCTGGTGGGTGAGTCCCGTGATAGATACTAAGGATAGACACAGATCGGTGTATGGAATCCATGACGATGAGCGACGTGACCCCGGGATAGACATAGGTAGGTAGGTATGTTGATCCTTAGTTATGAGGCCCATGACCCAGTAGGTAGACTTAGGTCGGTATTTAGGGCCGCGACGGCGGGTCACGTGACTCTGTGGGTAGACTTAGACCGGTATATAGATACCCTGACAATGAGTCACGCGACCCTGAAGCAGATGTTGATCAATATGTTGACCCTTGGTGGTGAGTCTCCTGACCCATGTGTCCCTGATTATGAGTCCAGTGGCCCTGTAGGCACACACAGGAAAACATGTAGAACTCTGATGTTGAGTTATACGACTGTCTCGGTTTTATCTAACGATGTCGAACAGTCGACCCCCTATTTCTAACTTGGTGAATCCCTTAACTGAAGGGCAAATCTTTAACAACGGATGCCTGCTCTTGGTAGGAAAGCAGCTTCGGGGCATAAGAAAGTGTATAAACACGGTTGTTCCTTGCCAAGATGACCTGTTTCACTTCGTCGTCGATGGGTGCCCAGTGTGAGCTGGCTAGTCCTTCAGCATTGCCGGGTCCTATTTTGGTCAAAACCTGCAGACTCTGGAAGACACTGAACCAGACACCTCCCTCTCGCTTGACTTTTAATAGGTATAAAAACTAGCGAACTGAATAATGCGTCAACCTGGTACTGGCATTCTCGCCTGCTTCTATTAGCTTTTTGTCCGTCCGCATGACTAAGGTGTTTCCTTTTGGCTTCTTAGCAATTTATAAAAATATTAATTTTCTGCAGTTTGAAAGTCTCCTGTGAACATTGTAGACAGGCCCATCTCGGCCAACCTCATATACCTATCGTATGCTGTGCGAACTGATTCCTGCACATTCCGCAAGTAGAGGTAGTGGAATAGATAGATGGCTGAGTAAGTAGACGGTTAGGTAGGTCGGCAGGTGGAGAGACGAATAGGCAGGCAGGTCCTCGGACAGACGACTCTAGCTTTGCCTTTTCGCATAACCTCAGCCTCTACCTCTGCCAACTGCCTACCCAAATGGACAAAGGCAGAACAAGGGTGGAAATAAATAAACAAGTGAATTTTAAGACTGCAAATAATCCTCTCAAAAGACCACTGGTATTACGCGTGATGGT